ATATTTTTATCTGTATGATTTTATAATTTTTATTTTTTTAATATTCATACATTTTTAAAAATAAAAAATATATATTTGTATTTAGAGTAAGAGTATCAATTTTTTTTCTTTATTAATTAATTGCATCAAGAATTTCATATTAAGCCTAGCATGACTGTTCTTAAAAAACTATAAACTTAATTATGAATCGCTTGGTACAGAAAGCAGATAATATCTGACCCAGTTTATTAACCACTTGCCTCTGCAAGTTCGGTTCTCTAACCAAACATGTTTAGTCAACTCTAAATATTTCGCTTGCATTTCAAAACATAAATTAACCAAGATCTCCCATTCTTATAATTATCAAAAATTGTATAAATGTAATGCCAAGAATATTTTCTTATTATGTTTCCCACATTCCCGCATCAAAGAATTCCCAGGTGTAATTTCCATTGAGCTTGCCTCACCTGTCCTTAAAATTATCATCTCCATACATAATCAACAATTTCACTGGCCGGTACGAAATTATATATTTGTAGCAAGACTAAACCAGATATAAGTAAGACGAAGAAACAAAATACAAAACAAAATTCACCTGTCCACACGGATTTCTAACTTTTAATACATAAATTAATGCTTTAAGCAAAACACAAAGCAATCCACGACATTAAAAAGATAGAGACCTGCACAGAGAGAGAGAGAGGGAGGGAGGAGAGAGAGATATAAAGGCATATAGAGATTCCACCTGCAGTTGAACATTCAAGAACAACATATAATAATCCCATCAACATTTTTGGATACGCTTTGCAAATGAATTGCTCGGCCCGACCGGCCGGTTCAATAAGTGAGAACAGGAGTGGGAACGGGAACGGGAACGGGAACGGCAAAGAGAACGGGAATGAGAGCGAGCCGAGCCGGACCAAAGCGTGGATAATAATAATGTGGAACCGAAACTGTGTGAGCTGGGAGCCGCTGCCCAGGACTGACGTCGACTAGCTGGCGTCTGTCTCGACTGCCTCGACTGTCTCGACTGTCTCGAACTGTCTCGCCGAACTGTTCTGCATTTGCACCTGCAACGGTTGCTCCAGCCAGCAAATTTGATGAGCCGTGTGCGTGGCTTATAATTAAATTGAAGTTGTAGATACAATTTGATATCAACGCCGTTGCGCTACATAAAACATATAAGTATTAAAAAAATGTTATAAAGGCTACGCTTAGCATTTAAATACCTTTCACAAAAAGGTACAATGTTCGGGGATATTAAAATGGAATAAGCGTAAATTTTCAGCTCAACCAAAAAGTCATAAAAATTAATGTGCATAGGTATCTGATAAGTGAGAAGTGATAAGTAAAACACAGCTGAGCAGTTCTTAATAATGTAAATAAAATATATAAAAAGTTAATACGACTAAGGTGGGACAGATGAGCGAGTCTAAATTAACCAGACAGAGCTAGACTGAACACAATATATATATTAATATATAGAATATTGTATAAAATTACTCAACTCCATTCAACAATATGTTGAAATGTTTGTAAGCCTCTTTTCTACATTTTCAATTCTAAATTTTTCTATTACATGCGTCTCTTTTAAATTCCATTCCATTTAAGCCGTTCCGTTTCTAGCCAACTCTTTATTTTATATACGACTATTCCAGAAACTGGACTTAAGAAAGAGCAATAAATCGTAAGCAACAAAAGGTAATTAAATGATTAATATATACCAAATATTTTATATAAATCTTGGACAACAAAATTTAATTAAATAATTCATTTTAAGCAGAAACCAATTTGAAAATTGCCATTTAAAAAATATTTAATATAACAGATTATATGTTTTTTTTTTACAAATATATTTAAAATTAAATCGCTATATATATTATTATTTATTAAATTGCTATCAAATTAAAAAGAAATCCTCAATTTTTTTATTTTTGTAACATTCTAGAGTTTGCTTCACAATAGGAGCAATTGTAACCTGGTGCCTAGCTTTATTATGTAGTATGAATAATGTTTCGATTATTTTGTTATGTATGGAGTACATTTTTTGAGCAGCTTTAGCAGCAACACAATAGTATACATAGTATATATATAAATAAA